AGGAATGCTCTCAAATATACATGCAAATTAGTTCTATGTGTTATAAAGACAAAATACTAAAGGTACAAGTAAAATAATCTGTTTTAGAAGGATCAACTGGGACCAGCAGATGGCATAATGGTTACATCACTGGACTCCCATGTAGTAGGACTGCAGTTTGAGTCCTGGGCCTGGTAGCTTAAAACTCAGGCCAGGCATGTGTACATGCGGGCCCAAGATCCCAAGGAGAACGGAGGAGAAGGAATTACAGTTTGGCATCCCTCCAGGGGTGATCTCTTGCTTTCTGTCTCTCTGGCAAGTGCATGCACCTTATAGCAAAAATCTCTCTCTCTTAAAAAAAAAAAAAAAAAAGAAGGATCAACTAGTAGCAAAGAAGGGCTCTGGGATGCTTTTACTGCATTCCTAAATGCAATAAGCAGATTCACATAGTAATGGATTATTTTGTTAAGTGTCTTTCTTGTGTAGGGTGGCTTTTTAGGAACACCCAATAGTTTCTACTCAGATATGAAATATGATCTTGATATACTAGGTTAAATCATATAAATGTGTGGAGTTTTTCCTGTGAGCCTTCAAACTCTACAGGATGGGAAGACAGAGACCACCTCTTAGGCCGACCTAAACTTTGGAAGAACTATGGAAGAATGGTTTAATACTTGATGAGCATGCACGTTAACCCAGGAATCATACTCTAAGAACTAAAGCAACAACCCACAAATGACTTTCTATTTTAAATGTCTTGCACTCACACATTCATGTCACTGAGGCCCAGCTTGCCATTGAAGTGTTTTCCAACATCACAGCCAAACCACACAGCCTAGAAATAGAGGAAAGAGGAAGACAGTCAGTCAACATAAACCCTATCTTCCTATTACACCAAAGAAGTAAAAGTCTTTATTTTAACCCCGATGTGGAAAACACAGAAATACCAACCTCTCCATCTTTGATGGAGGCAGCAACCATCTTTTTTAAGAAGTCAATGGGCTGGTTATTATACAGAGTTTTTCTCCCTCCAACCATGTTGCTTAAGTACTCCACCGTGTAAAGTTTGTTATACTTGTGCTGGGGTCGAGGGTCATTCACCAAACAAATCTATTAAGATTAAGAACATACTGATTAGAGCATGAAACAAGGCACATCTGAGAGCCACATCTACCTGGTTTTCCTACTGGAAGGAACTTTCCCAAAACTAATTCTAAAAAATTGCAGGTACTGGGCCAGCAGGTGGCGTGATAGTTAAGACTCTGGACTCCCACATGGCTGGTCACAGTTCAAGTCCTGGATTTGGCATCTTGAAAATCATGCTGGGAGCATGCATGTGCATGCCCAAAATCCTGAGAGAAAAAAGGATTGTGGCGTGGCTATGTTTTTTTATTCTATGTGGCATGGCTATATATATATTTTTTAATTTTATTACCCATGAGGTGTGATTTCTCACTTTCTCTCTATCTCTCTCTGGTGAATGTGTGTGCCCTATGACAAAACATGTTAAAAATAAAATTCCATGTACTAAGCAAGGCAAAGTGGAGATCGCTCGCTACAAGATCCCTGCTGTCAAGTTCTAAGACAGGCTCAGCACCCGCCAAGGCCAACACCCTGGGAGAGGGTCAAGGAGCCAATAAACAAAGGTCGTCTTGCAAGCAAACACGGAAGATCTGACGGGAACAGCAAACATGGATGGGATACCATGCCCTTCATCAAGGGAGTTCCCAGAGGTGCTCACAGTACAGAGGTGCTCTGAGGGTCCAAATCAGAGAAGCATATGGGAATTAAACCGACCACTGGTTTATGGTTAGAAAAGCCTCTGAGGAGGAACGCTGGGGACAGATGCCATGACCAGCTTTATTAGGTGCATAAATTACTTCAGAGGAAGGGAAAAAAGCTTGCTTAGTGTTCGCTGAGCATGCACGTTAACCCAGGAATCTTATAACCTTCCCAGTAGTCAACAGGCATCTGAAAGGAAATAGCCAGTAGCTGCCAGTGCCAGTCCCCGACCTTATCTTCCATGTTGAAGAGTGGCTTGACATGTTCTCTGTAAAACTCCAAGGGTGTTATGGGGCCAATTTTCTGATAATTTTTATCTTTGTCTCGATACTCCCAGGTGAAGGTCTCTGGTGGATTACCCAAACAGATGCACACCACTCGGAATATCTGGAAGAGAGGAGAGAGAAGCACTGTTTAAGGCGATATGTTGTTGTCGTTATTTTTTTCTCTCTTCATTTTCCTCCAGCTTAGGAAATACAAGAAAGTAGTGGCTAAATTCAAACCAGAAATTTCATAATAAATCAAATAGTGCTCCAAAAGTTGGAAAGGTGATGTCTAGATTTGTTATCACTCGAAGCAAAGCAATTCTGAAATGTTAATGTTTAGGATTTAGGAATTGTCCTGCAAATTAAACTTCCTTAGCAGAGAAACTGCCCACCACTGATACTCCACAAGATCTGGGTTGCTGCCCTGCTGATTACTTTTTTTTTGGGGGGGAGAGATTTTCACTGTAGGGTGTGTGCGCTCGCCAGACAGACAGAGAGAGACATAGAGACAGAAAGCGAGAAATCACCCCCCAGGGGGGATGGTCACGCCACAATCCCTTCTCCTCCATTCTCCTCTCGGGATCTTGGGCACGCACGCACACGCGCCCGGCGTGAGTTTTAAGCCACCGGGTCCGGGACACGAACCGCGGTCGACTACGTGGAAGTCCAGCGACATAGCCATTACGCTAACTGCTGGTTCCCATGATTACTTTTCAAGTGACCAATAAAGACGTATTTTATAAATGGATTTCCTTCCCTTTATGCATTGAGGTTTTCCTTTGATTCTGGCAGGCGTCTATCCAGAGAAAAGCTATTAACTTTTCAGTAGGAGCTTCGATGACAATGCTTTGTTAAGTTTAGAAGTAGAGGGGCCAGCAGATGGTGTATTGGTTACATCACGGGACTCCCACATGGCCGACCACGGTTTGAGTCCCGGACCCCGTGGCTTTAAAATCATGCCAGGCGCATGTGCATGCGTGCCAAAGATCCCAGGAAAAGAACAGAGAAGGGACTGTGGCATGGCCATCTCCCCAGGAGGTAATTTCTCACTTTCCCTCTCACTTTTTGTCTCTCTCCTATTCAGCGAGCACACATACCCTAAGGCAAAAACCTTAAAAAGCAAAAAAAAAAGTTTAGAAGTGGAATAACTTTTACTGGTAAGGTATCCTTTTTTGGGTTGTGAGAAAATAATGTGTTTTCTAATGATGTCACCTTCACTTTGACATCATTACAATCCAAGGATTTATTTTATATTATTTTCACTGTATAGGAAGACAAAAATAGAATTATATGAGGTCAGAATTCCTCTTCTATATTAAATTTGCTTAAGTCTTTTAAAAATATTGGGTTGTCAGGAAAGACATAATGCATTTTTTTAAAGAATTATTTAACTTATTTATTTATTTTAATTTGACCAGAGAGGGAAGGAGAGAAAGAGAGAAAGCAAGAAAGAAAGCCAACAGGACTGGGAGCCTCAACCACTATCTACCATGTGGGAGTCCAGCGCCCTTAACCTTCACTCCACCTGCCAGCCCCCATATTGCATTTTTGCATAGAAAAATATGTCATGAATTTGCAACCTATATAACACTATCGGGGGCAGCAGGTGGCGTGGTGGTTAAGGCCCTGTACTCCCATATGGCCAACAGCAGTCTGAGACCTAGACCCAGTGGCTTGAAAATCACACTGGGTGCGTGCGCATGTGTGCCAAAAATCCCAGAAGGAGAATGGAGGAGATGGGACTGGGACAGGCTCTTCCCCCCAGGGGCTGACTTCTCACTTTCCTACTCACTGTCTGTTTCTCTCCTGTGAGCGCTACTGCCTGCCTCTTCTTTCTCCACCCACAGAAGCACCCTGACCCTGGCTCACCCTTCCTTAGCTGTATTATGTACCATGCATTTGTACCCACTAGTTCCTCCTTGTCTGTGGCTTTGCTTTCCTTTACGCATTGTCACCAAGAAGGGTGACAACAGCACAATAAGCTATTTTGACAGAGAGACCATAATCACATAACTTTTATTGCAGTATATCCTATAATTCCATTATATTAGTGTTGTTACTCTTACTGTGCTTAATTTATAAATTAAACTTTATCATTGGAATGCAGACACAGGAAAAAAAAAACAGCATATATAGGGTTGGGTACTATCTGTGGTTTTAGGAATCTACTGAGGGTCTTGGAACATTTCCTCTGTGGATAAAGGGGGACTGCTGTACTCTATTGCATTCATAGAGAAAGGGAACCAGCTAGTGGTTAAGTATGGTGGTTAAGGCAGCTGGACCCCACATGGCCAACAGCAGGGTTGGAGTACCGGATCCAGTGGCTTGAAAAACATGCCAGGTGCATGTGTGCCCCAAATCCCAAGAGGAGAATGGGGGGGAAAGGACTGTGGCATGGCGATCCCCCCAGAAGGGTTCTTTCTCTCTGTCTCTCTCTCTGGTGAGTGCATGAACCCTACAACAAATAAAAAACAGACAGAGGGCCAGCAGGTGGCATGATGGTTGAGGCGCTAGACTTTCCACATGGCTGACTGAAGTTTGAGTGCTGGACCTAGTGGCTTGCTTTCTCACTCCCCCTTCTCCATCTATCTCTGATGAACACAAGAAAAAAAAAATAATAAATAAAAATAATTCTTTATGACACCAGCAGATGGTGTAATGGTTACATTGCTTGACTCCCACAGTTTGAGTCCTGGACCAGTTGACTTAAAACTCATGGGGACCAGCAGTTGGGGTAATGGCTATGTTGCTGGACTCCCATGTAGTCGATTGCAGTTTGAGTCCTGGACCCAGTGGCTTAAACTCACACCAGGCGAGTGTGTGTGCGTGCCCAGGATCCCAAGAGGAGAATGGATTGCAGACTGGACATTCTCCCTGGGGGGGGTGATTTCTCGCTTTTTGTTTCCCTGTTTCTGTTTTTCTGGCAAGCGCACGTGCCCTACAACAAAAACCTCTCCAAAAAAAAAAAAAAAAAAGATTTAAAAATTAATAAATAAAGTTCATGCCAGGCATGTGAGCATGCATACCCAAGATCCCAAAAGAAGAATGGAGAAAAAGGGATTGTGGCATTGCCATCCCCCTTAGGGGTGATTTCTCGCTTCTGTATTTCTGTCTTTCCAGCAAGTGCATGTGCCCTATAGCAAAAATCTCTTTCTCTGAAAAAAAAAAAAAAAAAAAAAAGACAGAGAAAGGGCTTTGTATTTATTAAGTATGCTTATTTTGTGCTAGATATTATATATCTGCTAGGTTCATGTAATTCTCATAATATTCTCTCAAAGGTATCCTATCCTTCCCCAGACCCCCAACTACCTTTTTCAGAAGAAGACTGAAAAATTAAGTAACCTACTTAAGGTCACACAGCCAGTAAGTGGCAGACTACAATCTGAAATTATATGCTGTCAAAAAAAAAAAAAAAGTATATTCCTTTGCTAGAGGTTTTAAAAAGGAAACCTTTACTAAATGTTTACTATACAATATTACAATCTTCTCAACAGAGGTGACAGATATTATCCCCATTTTACAAGCAAAGGTGCAAGGAAATAACTACCTTACCAACAAATGGCAGAATTAGAATTTTAACTCAGGTTTGACTATAATACTTTCCAAAACACCATGAAATCATCATTTACTGTAACTTTCTGAGTCTCACATACTTGTCTCCTACCAAAGACAATACACTTCTTGAGGATGAAGCCCAGGTGGAGGATGCTCTGAGACTGCCAAAGCATCTTGCAAAGTGCTGGGCACATGACTTCCTCTCTGATGTAAAAGTCGCTAAATTACTCCTCCTTTCAAAAAACGCATTATAGGAAAACTGCACTTCTGGATCTAAATTAAATCTACGGTGAATCCTTTTGCAAGATGCTATTTATGCCCTCCTACATGTTTTAAATCTGAATTTTATAAAATATGCACTTAAGGCAGTGGTGCAGCAGTAATGCAACTGGGCCTGCACGGGAGAGGTCCTGGGTTTGCGCACCTAGGCCCTCTCTGCATGACAGAGGCACGAGAGCGTCCAGGATCTGGGCTGGCTGGGGGTGGCTCGCTGAGTGAAGACCCTGTTGAAGGTATCCCCACTCCCAACTCTGTCTGTTTTACTCTTTTATGGGAGAAAAGAAATAAACTTTAAAAAGATATATTTAGAGGCCAGGCGGTGGCGCAGTGGTAACCCAGCTGGACCCACATGAGAAAGTTCTGGATTGACACCCCAGGACCTCCCTGAGCAGGATGGGCTCACGCCTATGATCTCGGCAGGCTGAGGACGGGGTGGATAAGGGCATAAAGACCCTGCTGGGGGTCCCTCTCTTTCTCTCCCATGGAAGAAACAAACACATAAACTTAAAAAAAAAAGATATATTTAAAGCACAAATGAGGATGAAGTGGTCTCTCCTTTAGAGTCTGTAACCTGAGCCACGTTGCTTTCTTTATGCTATGTGTTTACCATGATTACAAATCACCCAGAAGTATGCACGTTTAAGTCAGTCTGCAACACTCTGGACAGAATATTTGGCTCTGCGTTAAATAACAAGTTAGTTAAATGAGCTCTAATTTAAGAAAAAAATCTCCAAAGTATAATCTCCAGGGCGCCTGATACTATATTTTCCTGATAGGAGATTCTGCTGTTCTGAAATGACATTTCCTGTTCCCAAAGGCAGAAAGCGGGCAGTGAGCTCTGGATATGCAAGTCTGCTCTCTGGTGGGCAGCACAGGAATGTCAACTACTTCTCCCAAGATTTATGGGGGGTGCAGGAGGGGGGTTGAGTCTTCAAAAAAGTTCATGGAGAATGAGTATTATGAAAAATCTATGCATTGATTTCAATTTTTTTGGCACCAAAAACATAAAGTTATACTTTGATTACATTTTTCTATACTCTTGAAATCCTCTCGTACTTGGCATTTAGGACAAAAAAAGACACTCGACTCTGAATACAAATTATGCAGAACTGAATAAAAGACCCCATTCCTCAAAATATAATCACATATTGAATCTCAAATTAGTCCACTTAAGGAACTATACTTGTGACTTTAATTGAAATTGTCCTTTCCCTATCCCGGTGCATCCTACTTTTCCCTCCTTTATTTTTCTCCATAGCACTTATCTTCTTAGGTATTCTATTTGTC